GCATGGAGCAGGGAGGCCTGGCTTAGTGTCTTTCCTTCTTCTCGTCACCCACAGGGGGACTCCGGAGGCCCCCTGGTCTGTAACAATGTAGCCCACGGCATTGTCTCCTACGGAGATCGTATGGGGACTCCGCCAGCAGTCTTCACCAGAGTCGCACGCTTCCGATCCTGGATAAATCAAACAATGAGACGTTTCAAAATGCGAGGAATCAAACTGAGACCTCCTGTGAATGACTCTTGTTCTCTGGAATTGAAAAGGGATTATTGGAAGCGGAAGCCTTAATAAAAGTCCTTGTCTAGAGTGGAAATACCAGTTTCTCATTTGTTCATGAAACATCGTTCAGCACCCAACAAGTGTATCCAGGACTGAGTCTGAGCTCCTCTAGGAAAATGAGGTCTTTTCCCCAGGACAACTGAAACCTCCCCACACGCCATCCTGTGGGACAGGATGAGCTATTTCTCTCCTCCAACCCATTCATTCCCCTCCCCCACACACAACGCCCACAGCCTCAGGGACTGATGGGAGGACAGATGTCTCCCCAGGGCAAGCTTCTTTACTCCCTGCCCTACCAGAGGCTCCCCTACCAGATATTAAAATACATTCTAAAACTATGTGCCACTGGTGTGTATAGAACAGGCAGAGCAAGGGGACAGAATTGAAATGCCATACAAGGTTCAATTTCATATGTGGCAAAGGCGGTGTCTCAAGTCACTGGGAAACAAACGTTTAATGCATGGTGTTAAAACAACTGGATAGTTGGGCAGGGGGAGATAAAATGGATCTGCTCTTCACACCATAATCCACAATAACTCTCAAAGAGATCAGAGAGCTAAATGTAAATAATTAAACCACACAAGTCCTAGAAGAAAGAAAAGATCTGCTTGCTTAAAACTAGCTAATGAACATCAATGTTCACAGTAGCACTATTCACAACGGCCAAGAGATAGAAGCAACACAAGTGTTCATTTATAACCAAAGTCCTTCTCTCAAACCCTCATGCCACCCAAACTTCTATTGACCAATATCCTCTACTCTAAACCAATGTCCACATTTTCAGTGTGACAAGGGTCTGCTTCCTGTTTTGATACTCGAAAGTTATACAAAACTCCACCCAAAATGTTGACTAAATTAATATCACTCCTACCCTAAAGATTAGCCCATGACTGTCTACATCAATGTTGTATTCAAATAAAAGATTACCAAGGTCACATATTTTTAAATCCTGTTCTAAGCACCTTCTTAACATGGATGTTCTTCCATGTCCTTTAAATGATTCCTTGCACTGTGACATTTACCATCTGCACTTTTGCAATTTCCATGCTCTAAATGGATTAATCACTGAACACATATCAAATCCAACTGGCTATATACAGAAATGCATTGGTAAGTTTGATCATTATTTTATGGGTATTTCTTTCGGAAAGTCATTTGCCTAACAATCAGTCTAAGCCATTTTCAACAAAATTTTAATCAAAAATGCATCTTTGACAATACTTAGTCGTTCTCTCTATATTTACTGCCACTTGCCCACAGGAATTATCTACTACTTGCATGTTCTGGAAGATAACAGTCTCGTTAGTAAATGTTTGCATTCACAAATGAAAGAATACTTGATGGTGGGGCGGGGGAGGAGAGAGGGTGCAAGAGCCCACATCCAGCCCTTCCTCCCTGTGACATGTACTTAGAGTTCCAGAGCACCGCCCAGTCTCAGGACTCAGTCCCCGGAAAGCATCCAAGGCAGAGCCATCTCATGTCCATGTCTTTCCCTGCTAGTCAGCACTGCCAAGGCGGCTCTCTGCCTCAGTTGCCCAGCTGGAAAGGTTTCTACAGACCTCACAGTACTTACCGCCAGAACATAATTCCTTCCATGACCATCCGAGAGACAATCTCACCACCACCTCCCACAAGACTCCTGAATTCATCCTCTGACCTCCATCACCAGGATGAAGCTGAGGTTCCACCTACCTCTTCCTGAATGTGTTCAGATGGGACACATTCTCTTCTGCGCTTTCTATAAAACTCACGGTCCTGAGGAGAGTGGTGGATGCAGTGAAAACATAAGCAGCATTGGTGATGGTTGTAAAACAATGGAAATGTACTTAATGCCGCCAAATTGTACACTTAAAATAGTTAATAAGGAAATTTTATGTTATGTATATTTAACCACAATTTCAAAAGTAATTTCTTAAACATCTCCTGTGATTTAAAAAAAAAAAAAAAGGAACAGATCTCTAACAATAGTAGATGTTACCTAAAAGAAATGGGCAGCAGCCTCCTCTGCCCATCTCCTGCATCGTTGGAGCTACATTTCCCTTTTGAGCATTCAGGTTTCTGGGTCGAAGAGAAGAGGTACCACATCTGGCTAATGCCACAGACTCCAGAAGTAGTTCCATCCTAGCATTTCCTTCCCGTGAACATGACACTGAAAGCAATAACAAATTGTGACTTACAAATAACAAATCACAACCTCGCAAGAGCAGCCAAGCTTCTCTCCTGGCACCATGGCCAAGCCCAGGCAGAGGTGCCTTCTGCCCATGACTCAGAGCAGCAGAGTCATGATCAGCTAGGTGTGGGTCGGGAGAGATGGGGCAGAGGTGGGACAGAAGGAGAGCAGAGAGAGGCAATTGCCTTCGAATACTGTCTGGATCCATGGAGAACCCTGAGACAAGGGAGAGCTGAGCCATGTGTGGGGTGAAAATGTAGCCCAAGGTAGTGTCCCAGTAGCTCAGAAGAAAATGATCTATCAGAAAAATGTGACAGCTCTGTCAAATGTACAAGAAATCAGCTACAGAAATCGTGAGCACTCTCTTGGGTCTATATGACAATATGCGCTCAAATGATAAACACTTGCTTTGGGTCAAAGTTATATTCTCTCATCTTTGACTTTCTATGCTTCCAACACTTATTTAATAGGTACTTAATATCCCAACTTGTTGACATTTATTTAATAAGCCACTACGATATTGCCGAACATACTTGTGGTTTCCAAATTGAGGGTGGGGAGGGAGCATAAATCATTAAGGGTAAGAAGGCAATGTCAACCTTTATAAGGAACAGTCACACTTGGGGCAGAGAATGAAAATGAAAAAACACTTCACACTTTCCACCTTCTGGATAATGATTGTCCAACAGATGCTGAAGCAATGTAAACATTATGTTCAGTTGAAGATAAGATTTCAGAAGTCTTCTCGTATCCATATTAAATCATAAAACAACAAAGTCCCCTAAACTGTCAGCCCGGTTGCTTGTCTTCTAAGTAGAATTATTCCTTGAAACTTTGTCTTCCAAAATTAACAGCCCTCAAGTACCTCTGTGAGGAAAACAGGGTTCTCTGGACACCGGACCAGCAAAATTAGTGTCACCCTGGGTGCCAATAATATCATTTAAAAAAAGAAGAAAGAAAGCAGACAGCAGGTCATTTCTGTGCTCAAAGCCTCCCCTCACAAGGATTATAATTAAATTCAAAGGGTAATGACATCATGCTACTGAAGGTCCCATCTTGCTGACCTTCAGGTGCACTAGCACAGGACCAAAGAACTTCTCCAATGGCATCATCTTACTGCAGGTAAGGAAAAGTCCTGCTGCTCTTGCTCTCCTGGGTCCTCATGTTTCTGCTCACACTGAGACCTGGCCACCTGACTAGTCCCAATAGCTCAGAAGAAAGGGAAGACAGAGCAACCCCACCATGGTGTCCAGGCCCAGAGGCCACTGACTGACTTGGGCTCTCTTACCCCTTTTCCATCAGCAATTGAAAAATTCCACACAGACTAAAGCTATGAAGCCCCACTGCCTGCCCAGGATAGTAGTGCGATGTGGCCAGCTGGGCCGGGTCACGATGAGCATGTCAGCAAAACCCTGCAGTAGGTGGAGCTGACCATGCAGGAGGACCCCGAGTTTGAATGCTGCTTTCCTGGCTACTACAGATTTGTGTAGGAGACACAAAGAAAATGAAGATCAGCTTCGAGGTCAGGTTTCCAGCATTTATGTAGACAGGTCCTGAGAGAGAGGAACTTGGAGTATGAGAGTGGCCATATCTTCATGCCTCAGCCTAAAAGCTTGGACGGCTTAGGTCCACAAATCCAATCTGTAGTGATTTCCCCTGGCTGGGGAAAGAGGGATCAGTCATCCCATGGCAGACTGAAATGGGAAGAGACTTGGAGACCAGCAAGTCCTGAGGTTTGCAATCTATGCTCGGTGAAGTCTATGCCCAGAGGTGAGGGAGGAGGGAGGAGGCAACCAGGGCAGCCTTATCTTTACTTATATTACATGAGAAGGAATAAGCCTCGGTCCACAACCCACCAAGTGTCACATTCCAACTGCAAGACAGTTCGTTGTCACCCAGACCCCATTATTTTAGAGTCCCTTATCCTTCAAACAGCGCCACCAGTGAGTTGGATGTGACAGATACAACCAACAACTCACAAGAGCTGAACAATGATTCAGGTAGAACCTGCATCGAAAGGGAAGCAAGTTCACACACACACACAAATAAATAAACAAATAATAATAATAACAACAACAAATAAATCGCATGGATACGAGAAGCAAAATCCAGCACATTTAAACATAAGGTAAAGAGCAAATAAAAATTTCACTCAAGACTGTCCCTACATCCATCTGCCAAGTCTTTCCTGGGGTTCCCGGCCCTGGCGGAAGCACAGGTGAGAGAAGAACTAAATGCATGTGCGGAGAGGAGCAGGTGAACGGTAGAACGTGAACGAGACAAAGGACGACTTCAGGTTACAGCAGTAACACTACACGATGCTCTTAGGAGAAGCCATCACACAAAAGAAATGGAGACCCGGGAGTTGGGTCAGCCACTAGGAGCTCACGGAACATGCAGGCCAGAGCCAGCAGCAGAATGGCCACGGACATCTGCCACCAGGGACAAGGGTGTGTGGCCTCGAAGGACAGCACCTGATGGACCAGTCTTCCCCTTTACACCTGACAGGAGCACTTCACACAACATGACATACATTAGGAAGAAAAACCATTACTTATAGTGACTGCAGCATCATGAAGATCGGGCTGCTCTTGACGGTACATGTTTCCTTAACATTATTTCTAAGGACATTCACATTGATTTCTCTCTTTGATCCAGTGATTTTTATTTCTAGGACTTTTATCCTATGTCAGGCCGAAAATGTGTGTGTGCTTGTGTGCGTGTGTGCGTGTGTGTGTGCATAGGTGCATGCGTACGTGTGCAGGAGCAGGGGGTTATTCATAAAGATGTTCATCACATCATTATTTAATAATAGACCCCAAACTGAAATCATATCAATGTTCAA